CCCCCCCCCCAACCACCAGACGCGCAGACTCTGGCCCTGTGTGCCGCCCAGAGACAGGGACGGGCAGAGCCTGGCCCGGAGGCGCCTGACTTACTCCCAGAACTCGATGACGGGGGACCGACGGTCAGCTAGCTGGTCACATGTGAGGTTGGCTAGGCTGGCATTGGCACAGTCTTCATGGCGGAAGATCTCCACACAGTCGGGCGTGTTCCAGGTATGGCCGCAGGTGGCCCAGGGCAGCGTGGTGGTGAAGGACTTGACCAGGTAGTAGGAGCCCCAGGCCAGCACCATGATGTAGTAGGTGTTGCAGTAGAAGACGATGACCATGGAGGCGTAGCCCAGGCCTGGGAAGCAGAGGGGTTTCTGCGCGGGCTCTTCCGCCATGCCCCCCCCCCTCCCAGGCTCAGAGAAGGCTCCAGAGCTCGGCTGGGAAGATCTGGTGGGAGGATGGCGGGGAGTGGGAGGATGGCAGATGCAGGGAGCCCCCCGGACCCTCCCTTGCATGACGGTCCCGATACCGGGACACTCCCCGGTCTTCATCGGCCCCCGCTCCTGGCTTCACCTGCACCCTCCCTCCAGCCCTCCCCTCTTGCCCCAATCCAAGCACGAACATCCCATATACTCCCTAGCCTCACACACCTGTCCCCTTCTCTCGGGTCCCACTGCCACCATGGATGGTTGAAGGAGGACCAAGCCTCCACCTGGGTCCCCAGTGGCCTCCAGTATTCAGCAGCTGGGGACTTTCTGGTGACCTGGGGCCATATGGGAGACAGTCCCCCTCTCAGCAGGCAACCTTGGCCAATCACTCCACTTCTCTGAGCCCCGGCTTCCTCGGGGTCCCTCCTAGGGCCTGGAGAGACTGGGGGTACACTACCCACACGCAGAAGGAGCTCCAAAGTGACCTTTGCCAATGGTTCTTCCCTTCAAACCCTGAACTCCATGGCTCCCATCCAACCGCCTGAGGCTGGCCCTCTGGCCTTCAGGGAACAGGCGCTGGGTGGCATCTCGTGCTGTCACCTCTCACACCCTCCACTCAGCCCCCGGGGGACCTGCTGGGCCTGCGTGTCATGGCCTCAGTGGAGAGGCCAACCCCCAACTCCAGTCTGCATCTGCCCAAGGTCACTGAGTGGTCTGCAGGCCCTCCAGCTTTCCCCTCATGACTTGGGGGACACCAGTGGGACCCCGGCCTGGTGCCAAGATAGGACAGTATTTCTCAAGTGGGTAGCAGCTTTGCCCTCGTAGGGGGAGGGGGTGGGAGACCAGCCTGGGGCTGCTCACCTTTGAACAGGGGGCAGATGTTCCAGACGTTGATGCTGCCGGCCTTCATGAACTGGCCCAGCGAGATCTCCAAGAAGAAAATGGGGATTCCTCCAACCAGAGCGATCAGGACATAAGGGATAAGGAATACACCTGGGGGAGGGAAGCACAGGGTGGGCACTCGCAGAGGGCAGCCCTGAAGCCCCTGGTTGGCCCCTGGGGAGGTCAGGGTGGGGCCAGCTCTGGGCCACACCCTGGCCCCATCATAACTTCCCACTGGGTGAATCAGTGCAGGGGCGGCCACTGACTCAGAGGTGCGAGGGGAACAACCTTGAGAGAAGGGGGCTGGAGTTGTCGGGAGGGCTGTGGCGGTCCCTGGGTCCTTACAGCCCCGTTTCTTGGGTTGGGGGGGCCCTATGCCCACAAGGGTTCTGGGCTTACAGTCATCTAACAGTGACCTAACAGGCGTGGGGGACACATACCCCTCAGTGTCGCAGTTCCCCGTTTGCTAGGCAGCACAGGGAAGAACGGTGCATTCATGTGCGTGTGCAGTGTGGCTGGCACTCAGGCCTGGGGGGCTGTCTGGCTTGGGCAAGGACAGGGAGCCCCAGCTTTCCCTGCACCCCAGCACCCACCAGCTGCCTGCAAGTGTGAAGGTCTGCAGAAGAGGGTGGGGGACAGTCCCGCAGGGGGTGTCTGAAGATGTCAGTGATCAAGGACAGGGGAGACAAAGTGCAGTACAACAAGCTCTGGTGAGCCTGGCCCTGGAGGTGGCCAGCGTGGCAGGGCAAGGGACCACAGGCCAGAGGTGAGGGGTCAGGGGAGCAGGGCAACGGCAGCCCCCATCTCCTCCTGTTTCACCTCCAGGCCCACTGCCATTCCCCCTGCCTAGCTTTGCAGTGCTCTAAAGTCGGGTCTGGCTGCAGCTTGCCTGGCTCCTGGTCTCAGCATCCTTCTTGTGTGTGACCTTGGGCCAAGGCCTTTGCTCTGGGCCTCAGTTTCCCACCCATCATCCAGTCACTAGGGCTTCCTCCCCACCCCAGTGGTGCTTTGCAGTCACAGGACACACGGGTGCCTATCGCTGTTGCTAGGCTGGGCTGGGGCCGGCGGGCATGGGGCGTGCGCGCAGTGTGTCCAGCGGCGGCGCCGGGCGGCCCAGGCCGCAGGCTACCCAAGCCTGGCTCAGGCACCCAGTGTTCCAGGCCCAAGCTGGAGGGGAGGGGAGGGGAGGGGAGGGGAGGGGAGGGGAGGGGACAGAGTAGCCCATTGTGTGTGTGTGTGTCCGTGTGTGCACACGTGGGGGCCCCACACAATGTGCCACTTGTGTGCCTGACCAGCGGGGGCAGCCTGGGCTCCTCACCTCTGAGAGCCACCCCGGAGGGCAGGCCTCGCCTTCCCACCTCAGTGACCAATCGCTCTGGGGCTCCTGCACCCGGAGTCTGGGGGGAGGCCGTGCTGGGGCTTCAGCTGCTGGCTCGCTGGCCCCCTCCCCCCACACACTGCCAGGCACATGACCGGCTAGGGGGGTGGAGACCGCCAGCCCGGGCCACGGGGCGGCAGCGTCGAGCGAGGGGCGGCCTCCGGCACCCAGTACCCCGGACTTCGGCCCTGCGCCCCAGTGGGGCTGGCCGCCGGCCCGAGGGGGTGCTGGTGGTGGTCGGGGGTCCCGGTCCGGACAGAGCGGGGACGGGGCGGGGGCGCTCACCTCCGCCGTTCTTGTAGCACAGGTAGGGGAAGCGCCACACGTTGCCCAGGCCCACGGCGAAGCCCACGCACGACATGATGAAGTCCATCTGGCGCGTCCAGGTCTCACGCGGTGGCACGGCCAGGCGGCCGCCAGGCGCCCCCAGGCCCGCGGGGCCGTCGCTCTTGGCCGGGGCCCCGTCGGGCCCGGGCGCGATCAGGGGGCCCTTCTTCTCGTCGCCGGACACGCTGTAGATGCCGTTCTCGGCGCTCTTCTTCGCCATGACCCCGGCGGGCCGCACGGCCGGGCCGGGGGGCGCGGCGGCTCGCGGGGGCGGGCGGACGGGGGGGGCGGGGGGGGGGGGCGCCGGGGGCGCGGGGGGGGGCCCCGAAGGCGCGGGCCCGCCGGGGGCCGGGGGGCGGCCGGGCCGGGGGTCGGGGAGGCGGGGCGGCGCGGTCAGAAGCAGTCCACGAAGCACTTGAAAGTGAGCCTGAAGAATCTCATGT